TATAATACTGTACTACTGTTTGAATAGCATTAACGTTCCTATACGGCCAAATTGGAATGTTAAGTAAACAATCAACACCTTTAATACTGCCAAACAAACAGCTGTGATTATAAATCAACTACACAAATTGAATCATTGTTTTATTTTTGAATTTCACACAAAGCTACACAAGGGCTATCTGCGCTAGTCGTCCTTAATTTAGCAGTGAAAGACTAGAGGGAAGGTAGCTACAGCTATACTCAGATTGCAAGTCGAGAACCCTAACCATCTGGCCATGTTAGGACTAAGTTGAATTAAGATGCATTGCTAAACCTGAAAGGATACTTCAACTGTTCTTGGACTTAGAGATCGAATATATATATATATATAAAATTTTGTACATAAATGTCCAAAGTGTTCTTTGGGTTAACCCTACCGAGACGGGTCAAAGCCCATGTCATCACATTTGTAAACTTACGATCAAAATATTTTATTGAACTACAATTTTATGAATGTATATCAAATAGTTTGGTACCAAATTGTTGATCATAATTCAATTTTTAGTATTATACATTAGTTTCTTTCTCAATTTTAAAGTAAATATTTAAACAAATCCTAAATAAAGAATTTTATGTCACATAGAATGTTGAACACTGTGTTGGTTCAGATTAAATGTTTATTATGTCCAAATACAAAAATATATAGTTTCTTATAAGTTAGGAACTCAAATTACATTTATTGACAAGCTAGAATATGAAATAAAAACCTCCTATCTTTTCTTTTTGCTGATATATCGCTACATTCAGTGAATCAAACATAGTGGCCACGCCCACCTCTTTCCATTTTTCGAAACACTTGCTTACGTACATCTACTTATAACGTGTGAATAACCAATGAAAGCTCATGATGTCCCTCACGTGATTCTCCGAGTCTTTCCAAGGTACTTACACGGAAAAACCTTTTCTTTTCATGGTAGACCAAAATACGCCTTAGCTACTAAGCCTAACAAATTGTAGTGAAATTCTGTGGAATTTATATAATAATTAATTTTTTTATATTTCAAAATGCATATATAAAACCTAAAAAAAATATTTTGTTTTACATTCTGCAAGTGCAAAACTTGATAAGGCTTAGCAAAATACAGCAAGCAGCAAACGAGTACAAAATTCGTAACTAGAAGAGATAATTGTTTTCTATATACTCCTTTATTTACTGTTCTATTTTTTAACCGAAATTTAAGAACTTATTTGTAAGTAGTAATAATGTTTTTGCATATATTATGTATTATAACTGAAATGTGACTATATTTTACAAAATATTGGTCCACTAGAACACAGCCAGGCAAATTTTATATTACATGATACATGGTAACATCAATGCACGTGCGCTGCGTCAGTCAACTTCTGTAACTGTAGTCAGACACTGTTGAAAGGTCATTATAATGAAAATAATAAATTTTATAAATATAATAAATATATCTAGATGTAAAATGTTATGAAATTTAAGCTATTTAGGACAGAATTGACCAAACCCATAAAAAAAATCAGAGTAGCGAAAGAAACAGAAAAAATGTAAAAACTTTTTTCTAAAGAAACTTTAATAATCTGAAGGATTATTAAGAGGTTAAGGAGATTTCGTATGTGAAATTTGACAATTTTCTGATGCATAAGAGTATTTTTAATCTCAAGATCAAAATTACTTTCCACGTTATCAGTAGTAGAAAATAAGAAATACATGAGCAAATAATTAATTAAAAAATCTCATACTTGGTGGACGAATTCCTTGTAATGTTTACTTATAATATGTAAAATTTCGTGAACGTACGTGTACATTTGAAAAAGTTACAGTTTAGGGTTACTTTCCATCCATCTGTATTACAAGGGTTAAATCAGAGTTACAAATACAGGACAGTATAAAGTCTTCGTAAGAGCAAGTAATGAACGGACTTAAAAAGAGTTAAATTATGAAGTTCATTTAGTATTAACTTTTTAAGCGACTCCTCTTCATGATATACGATTTTATAATTATTATCATTTACCGTGGCTCAGAAGGTTCGAGCCGTGGCACAAGATATATTATTAGTAGCATTACAAGACTAATAAAGAAATATGAAGTGAAAACATAAAGCATACCAAGAAAAAATACAAAGATTTATAATTCATGATCGACATAAACAGTAGTTTAACACAATAAAATTTGAAATGTATTTCTCATCGCATGCCTTTCTATTTCAGTAAGATAACAGCCAGACAATTATCGTAATTGTTATTTTTGAGCCTTCTGATATTGTACATTGTTATAGATCTCTATTCAATATCTGTCTTCAACCTTATTCAGCTTAAAATACTGGCACAACTTCGAATAAAGTAGCGAGTAAATATCCAAAGGTGACTTTCTGGAACCAGTTACCGTAGCTCGAGAGGCGCGTGTAAACTCCGGGGAAGTTGGGACGAGCACAATCAAACCCAAATGATACAACTCCCACTAATTCGACTCTTCCTGTTCTTGGATCCTGATACATCAGAGGACCACCAGAGTCGCCCTGGTTACGAGAAATAAAAACTTTCTTTATGTCACTGTCAATCTGGTGTTGAAAATATGAACTTCAATTATAACTTGATAAAAATGATAATAGTAAAACAACAAAATAAAAATCAACAACATAGTTTTGAGAAAAAAATAATTATTCTGTAATACATCATATATCTGTTTATCAATGAAGCAAAATCATGTAGTCAAAAAACTTGCAAATATTTTCAGCTAGATATAGTCATATTGAAGGTCAAACTTTGGTCAAAACATTCTCCAATTAAACCTTTTTCCTTTCCTGAAACATCTGAGAACAGTAACTTCCCTCACCCGATTAAACATGGTTCCTAGAAAATTGCCTGGCTACTCAGGTACGTAGTTTACGTCGATACAAATTGAAAGGTCACTTTCAGAATGCTACTTCATTTTTGAAATAGTCTTTCAATTTAGAGTATCTGAATATTATTATAAAATCGTTCAAAATGTTTCGGGACAAACCTGACAAGCATCTCTTCCTCCTTCCTGATACCCAGCACAAATCATATCATCAGTGATTCCTCGGTTGAGCTTGGAGAATGCCAGTTTTTGATAAGACTTGTCGCACAGTTCGTTTGTAACTACGGGCAACTTCAGTTCACGTAGAACATTATGTTTCTCACTACCTAATAAACAGAAAAATAAAATTAATCATAATATTTTTTTAACTTACAATAAATATACTTCATAAATATCTCTCAAACATTCCAAATTACCTTTAGACATAATTGTGAATAAATTCTTGTTTTCTCTATTAACCTGTGAATCAACAGATTATACCTTTCAAAGAATAAGTAATTAAAAAATTGCAAACATTTAAAAAAAGATGTAACTTTTCATTTATTAACAAAGAATTTTACAGCTTGACAAATAGAAGTTTCAATGGAAGAAAACACTGTACATCAGATAATGGGGGAGACCTCGCATGACTTGGTGGCAAGGGCGCTGTGAGGGTAGCGGGTTCGAAGTTCCATCACCGAACATGCTCGCCCTTTCAACAGTGGGGGTGTTATAATATGAATGCTGCTCAGGAGTTGGCTGTGTTGATTAAGTGCCATCACTCTAGGATAACGGCTCATTTTTCCTTGGAGGACATTATGGCGCTATCATCAGGTCAAGGTTGAAATCTCCTTGTTTTATTGTCGTATAGGTTTCGCGATACAAAGATCAACAAAGTTTTGGATAGCTGTATTTCATTCGTAGGTTTTAAAATATTTAAATAGTATTCAATTGATATTAACATTAAAAATGATATATTTTAATACACACAAATGATGATATTTATCAATATAAAATTGAAGAAGGATACATTTCGTTATTGTTTTTTTTTTATTGGGTCTCTTCTTTTATGTAAGTGAATATAAGATACATCAACATCATAACACTGACACTTACCTCTTTCAGTAACACCCCAACCAATAACAACGACCTCCTTATTGTTTAAGTTCACGTTCAACTTGTTCAACTCAGGAATACAGATAGGCTGTACTTTGTCGTTGTATTCGATTGGTTTCGAGAGTAAAATCAAACCAATATCGTAATAGTGTAAACGGTATTTGTAGTCCTTGTGAACAATAATCTTATTTACTTGATAGTCGGTACCCGAATTGTCTATGTCATGAGCTCCAACTCTAACGAAGATGGAAGAATCCTGTCTGAAAAACAACAACAAAAGAAATATTTTACAAACTTCTTAAATTCTCGTAGTACACAACAACTTATGTAACATTTTAAATATTACCAAAGTAACAATTATTAATCCTAAAGTACAATATACAGACGATGCATGGGAAAAGTTTACAGATACACTGCTTACTTTCAAGTAAAAAAGCACCACAATAACAGGAGATACGAAATGATACGAGTTAGGATGTTAAGTTGAATTTTTATCTTGACTGAATTGAAGAAAAAGAGAGACAGGAAACAGTACCAAACAAATTGTGGAATCGGTAGTTTTCGAAAAAATTAATACATACATGACTAATGCACAATACAAATTAAGCCTAAAATAAATTTTTACTTACTTATTTGTTCAACAATATTTAGTGCATGTTTCAATAAGTTCAAGTCGGAAGTGTGCATCAGTGACCAGAAAAAGTCCGCGTATGAGGAATTTCTCCAAAGTAATACGGCGTTCACCAGAATAACCTGTTTCTAGAACATTCTGGTTTTTGAGTCATCTGACTTGGGATCGTTTACCTGTATTATTATTATTCATACGCTGTTACACACCAGTATATACCATACGCGATATTACTATAATAACTACTTACATTTCCCTGTTCATATTGTTATTTATATTACATTTCTTTACCGTACTTCTGTGCAATTCTGCATCTTGTTGAAGGGTTAGGCCCGAATCGTGAACTTGGACATTAAATATATTAACGCTTACGTTGGTCTTTTTCCTTTCTTAACTCACTCGCATATACCGTACTGTCAACTGCTTTACGCATGCCAGATGTATTTTACACCAGCGTTTCCCAAACTTTATTGGCCACCGAACGCTTTTCAGCTGAGAAAAAGCTTACGTAACACTATGCACGTGAAATATCGGTGTAGAGCAGTGTTTCTCAACCTTTTTTTGCTAGTGCCACCCTTTTGAGTTAATCTCTGTGGCCCCACCCTTCGTAAACGCTGTTACTTAGGAAAAAGTTACTTTATATCCACACTGTTTGATCTATAATATATTTATAAAATTATAATATTATTTTTTACAACTTTGTATTGTTTTTAAATATTTTGTTCATAACATACTGTTTACTTATACAAGTAAAAATATTCTGTTAATCATTGACATTTTATTCAGTGTGATCCTTGGGGCTTGATGAGCACTTGAAAATTTTTGAATGTCCGGTTGCAGTGTGGTCAGTGATAAGCGAAGATCACCTCCCCTCACAACATCAAGGCAGTTACGCATTTTTGATAGCAAATAAGTCACCTGACTACAACCAGATTCAACCAGATAAGATGTGGAAAAAGCTATAAAATATAATTCTCCCAGATCTGTGGAAATCTGTCTGTCTGTCACGTTTGAATCTAGCTTTGGCTGTTGAAATATTTTATTCGGGCAGTGAAGGTTCGGTGGACCACTCAGAACTCACTGCGGGCCCCTTAGAAACATGGTGTGGCCCCCTGGGGGTCATATGGCCCACGTTGAGAACCACTGGTGTAGAGAGTATGTTGCGCGCGTAGCGCCCTCTAGATATGTATGT